CGTCATCGTCATCATCATTCTCATTGTTGTCTAATCATCATAATCATCCTGTCATCGATAGTTGTAATCATCACCATCATCATCATCACATCATACTCATCCATCGTCATCGTCCTCATCTTCATCACGTCATCATCAATCATCTATCGTCGTATCATCCTCATAATCTTCATCCTCATCCTTCATCATTTTCCTCATCATCATTCTCATCATCATGTTCATCCTCATCCATCATCATCCTCGTCATGATCAATAGCGTAGCCAGCTATTGGTACAGTTAGGACAGTCCCACACCATTTTTCTATTATGGGTCCACAAAAAAATTGGGTCCACATTTTAAAAATGGGTCCAAATTATGTAATTTTATGCATAAAATGGATCCAGATTTCTCATATTTAGTTAAAAATGGGTAAAATTTAAGAAGATGGGTCCAGATATTTCGTATTTTTGTGTAAAATGGGTCCGGTCCACATTGTTTAAATTTACACGTAAAGTGGGTCCACCCTGATACTGTCCCACACCGTTTGAAAATCCTGGCAATGGCATTGATCCTCATCCATCATCGTCATGTCACCCTAATCACCATCCTCACAAATCAACGTTATCATCATCACCATCACCCTACTAATCATCCTCATCCATCATCATCCTTATCTTCCTTATCATCACTCATTCATCATTCATCATCATAGTCCTCATTGTCATTATCATCCTCATCATCATCCTCATTACAATCATCATCTACCATCATCATCCTTGTCCTCATCATCATTAACCACATCATCATCATCTTTATTAATCATCATTATCAATCATCATCCTCATCATGAGGATGATAATAACCTTATCAACATCATTCTCATCAATCATCCTCATCATTATCACGATCATCCTCATCAACAACCATAATCATCATCATCATCAAAATGCAGATTTTGAAAAGATGAAAATTATGTTCTGTTTGAAAACATTAGTAACATTTGGGAAAGTATTATCAGTTATATAAATAAGGCAATTTCTGAATCAGTGCCTATTAAGAAAAGAAGTAAAACCAAATCATTTTCATGGATTACTACAGAAATTAAGAAACTTTGTACAAAGAAAAGAAAATTATATAAGAAGACCAAGATGTTAAAGACACAGGAGGCAACAGAAAAATTTAAAAGTTGTAGCTGAAGTTTGAAAAAAGCCATATACTGTAGTCATAGAAATGTTGTTTTAGATATCTCAAATAAGGCGTCTACAAATATGAAAAAATTTTGGGCAATGTACAATAGGGCAATTAAACAAGATTCAGAAGTTATTAGTTTTAAAATATATGATGGTGTTGTAACAGATGCAAAAGAGTTAGCAAACCTATTTAACACCATATGGAATTTGAAAAATTTAATGTGATGGAGGTTTATCAGGCATTAAACTATCTAATTGTTTCAAATTCTCCAGGACCTGATAATTTTACTTCCCATATTCCTAAAAGTATGTAAGGAAGAACTGGCAAGAGTATTGTGTAACTTTTTTAATTTATCTTTAGAGAAAGGTGTTTTACCAAAACAATGGAAAACAGCTAATGTTGTATCAGTTTTTAAAAAACATGGAAACCAAAGGGAGAGATAAAGAGCTATAGGCCCGTGTCTTTAACACCAATTGTTTGTAAGATTATGGAAAAACTTTTATGTAAACGAATAAGTACTTTCTTAGAGTTCAATAATTTATTATCAGATAATCAGTTTGGTTTTAGACATGCATATAGTACTGAATTGTTACTCACAAAGGCATTGCATTCATGGGCTCAAAGTTTAGAATCTAAAGATTGTAGACAAGTAGATGTAATTTTCTTAGATTTTTCATCAGCTTTTGATAAGGTCCCACATAAGCGTTTACTTAAAAAGCTTAATAATATTGGTATAAACAAAACTGTAAATAAATGGATTCAGGACTTTCTTTCAGATAGAAAACAAAGAGTCATCTATAGAGGTGAAACTTCTAAATGGAAGAGTGTAATATCAGGAGTTCCTCAAGGGTCAGTTCTTGGCCCTTTGCTATTTTTAATGTATGTAAGTGACCTTGAATATGGTATAACATCTTAAATTTTTCAATTCGCTGATGACAATACGATTTCAAGACCTATTTATGGAATAAACGACTGTATTAGGCTTCAGGGTGATTTAAATAGGATTGTTGAATGGTCTATTGTTAACAAACTGCCGCTAAATGCATCTAAATGTGCAACTATGAGTTTATCTAGGTGTAAAGAGCCTCTTACATGAGACTATAGTATAAATTAGTATAATATAGTATAAACTGAAAGACTCCATGAATTTAAACTACTTGGTGTTTATATTAACAATAAGTTATCATGTCATTCTCATTTGAATTATGTTAGTAATAAGGCAAGCAGACTTCTTGGTTTTGTTTCAAGATGTAGTAAGGCAATGTCTTGGATGGCTATGCTCAATCTTTATAAAACTTTAATATTACCGGTTATGAAGTTGCTGCATGTGGGCACCTACTGAAATTTCAAATATTTATAGACTAGAAAGGGTACAAAAAAAGGCAACTAGAATAATTATGTACAGAAAGGAAGGAAATTGGGACATGTCATATTTATATAGATTAAGGATTTTGAATATTTTAAGCATGGAGGATATTTTTTAAAGTATATCGACTAACGTTAGGTTTTAAAATAATGCATGGCCAATGTCCATTGTCGTTTAATAATCTTGTGAGATTAAGTGAAAGGTGTGAAGGGCGATTAATACATTGGAAAGCCAAGACTAATACATTTTTAAATTCATCTTTTGTTATTTTTCCAAGATTATGGGAACAACTTCCTAATGAAATTAAACAATGTATATCCATTTCGGACTTTAAAGCCCAGCTCACAAAACACTTGATCTCAAAATATTAATAATAATAACTATTAATTATCTCTGTTTTTCATTTTGTTATAGATAAATCAATTTATTTTGATTTTTTTTTTTTGTATATATTTATATTGTATTGTATTTGTTGTTGATGATGGAGTAAGAGCAGTTTACTGTTTGGGCTTATGCCTATTACTTACTCCTGGCAAGAATATTGTATGTATACTTTTTACTTTGCCGAATAAATATTATTATTATTATTATCCTTATCTTCATCATCGTCAAACTCATCATCCTAATCCTCCTCCTTATTATCATCATTATCCTCACCATCCTTAGCATCATTTTCTTCCTCATCATCATCAATCATTAATCATCATCTACCTCATCATCTTCCTTCTCATCATCAACTGTATCATCCTCATCCTATCCATCATCATTCTTATCTTCATCACCATAATCATCATTACCACCATCCTCATTATTATCATCATCCTCATCATCAACCTGATTACTGTCTTCATCATCATTATCATCACCATCATCATCATCATTTTCATCATTATCCTCTTCATCATCAGTCACCATCATCATCATGAGGATTATGATGATGAGGAGGATGAGAAGAAAGATGAGGACGAGGGGGAGAATGAGAGGGATAATTCTCATCTTTCATCATCATCATCATCATCATCATCATCATCATCATCATCATCATCATTCTGATCAATCATTTTCTATCATTCTCATCACAATCATCACAATAATTTTTATCAACAACCATTATTATCAATCATAATCACAATCATCTTCTTCCTCACCATCATCCTCATCATCTTTCTTCTCCTCATCATCAACATCCTCCTTAATGTGGATTATAATGAGGATGAGGATGACAATGAGGAAGATGATGATGATAATAATAATAATAATAATGACATCAGTATAGTAAGAATAACAGTACTAATGCTAATATTAATGTGAATTATAAACTATAAATTTTTTTAAACACATAAGAATAATCATATACTATATAATAATAATGTTATAAAGTAACAACATAATAGTATATTATGATGATAGAAGAAAAATGTAGTGTAGAAAGATTAAATTTAAATAGGTAAACATTTCATTTGATTTTGATTGCCGTAGTCTTAGAATTTGGTGTGTCATCATTCCAAATTTGCTTGGGAGGTGGGGAATTCCCATCAGACAGGCCTAGACTCCCATCGTCCGATGCCACGACAAGGTCGCCACACCACAAATAATGATTTGCTTATCCATATAACATTATTTTGATTGCCAATCCCTAATATTTTGGCTTAAAAGCAAAATTTTGGGCCATACTAAGCTAAAAAAAAAACTCTCCCATAAGCCCTGGGACGTTTATTTCGGGACTCTGACTGAGAGTCTAGTCGGCCCTGTGTTTGGACCTACCCTATCAGACTCCTCTGGGGCCGCCACTGAACGACTATAATGGGTAAATATTTAACTAAGGTCTGTCAGTTTTCACAGTTATAGAAAAAAAAAACCTAAAAGTGACTAAAAACATAAACCTAAAAGTGACTAAAAACATAAACATGTCTCCCATACCCCGATCCAAAAATTGGTATTTTAAAGGAAAATTTCACTATTTCGTTTTTTCTTTGAGTTAACTTTGTATTAGTTCATTAATTATATATAGGGTCTATATGCTTTTTTTTTATTCCTGTATGTATAATATTGTATCAAGATTGTATTGTACTTTGATAACAATAAAATTATTTTTACATTAAAAAACATAGTTTTCCCCACCATAATGGATGCCATGTTGGAATTTGTCAAGATGACGTCATCATTCCGATCAAATTTTTTAATGAGAGTGATGAGTAACTATATAGCCAAGTTGTTGTTACATTTCATATCCACAGTATATGTAAAAGTGACCAAAAACATAAATTTATTTTCCCTACCCCCATCTTAAATAGTTTTAATGGTATTTTAGGCCAAAATTTCAAAGTGCTGTAAAAAAATTGTCCAAGCCAGGCATGGGGATTTTTTTTTCTAAGACACTATAGGGTATATGCTGATTCAGAAAAACCAAAAATTAATTTTCCTTTACTTTTTTTCCACTAAAGTTCATTTGAGCAGTTTTACAACCAGGCTATATTAGGTAGACCAACACAGAACACTTCATTGAAAAATTCCTTGCTGCGTTACAGTATATGAGGTGATGTGAATCAACACAGTGATTATGACCGAGTTTTAATTATTGCAAGTATTTCATCTATTTGTTTAGTTCGCAGAAGAGTGTTAATAGTCAATTAGACTTGCCACAAGTCTCTAATTTATGGATTTTTCGTAGTACATTAGCGCATTTCGGAAAGCGCCACCAGCGTCAGTTTATGTTGAGAAACTTTTTTGATGAGAATTAGAGACTTGTAAAAGAGTGAATCAAATCGAATGCAGACCACTGGCCGTGACAAGCATGACGTAATTTTTAGGATGCCGTATTTGGCAATTGGGTGAATGTTATGACGGAAGGTCAACCAATCAAACGGTTCTCGTTTTGGTGCCACAAATGTAGAGAGAAGTCGGGAAGTTGGGACATGGTACCGTACGTGCAGGTGTGTGGAATATCGTGGTACATTGTTATGGAGGAAAAGAAAACACCAACCAAAAAAGCTGTATTCCAGAGAATTTTTTGTTCTGCGCACAAGATCGAGTGCATGGAAAAGCTGCAGTCTAGAAAGTATTTGGTTTGCGAACCGCCTTAGGTTCACGCGAGGTTCAGTATTTTAAAGACTAGAACATTTATCAGCCCACCACTAGGCCTAGGCCGACGGAAAAGCTGTCATGCTCTCGCAACTGCGACACAAAATTGAAGACAATGTATACCGGGATAAGCTATGGGAGTTGTCACGGGTACGTTTACGTATTTTTAATAGTCAATCAATGCTTGGTGCCTTTTTAAGATATCTGCAAGAAATGTGGGTGCCAGTAATTGACATGTCGACAAGAACGCGAAGCCCCGCCCACAAGAAGTCAAGAAAACCTTAGACAATGGCGTCTAGATTTACAGAGTTGGCGAACATTTTCTTTGCTATCAACCTTCTTTAAGAAAGAGAATTCAGGGTAGGCGGTATGAAAATTAATCATATATTCATAGTGTTTATCAGTTATTTCATGGAACAGGCGGGGAAATTGTTGTAAAAGCCTCTAGTGTGGTCCCTAGTGTCATTTTGCGAGATAGGCTTGCCCAAAGCAATTTTATTGCATTTTCCGGATATTTTGGGTATGCTGAATCCAAAAATGCAAGGGTCCATTTTTGTCGATAACGTCTTGGTGGCCATATTGGAATTTCAAAATGGCTGCCATTTTAAAAATGACCATAACTCTACTATTAAAGCAGATATTGACATAATTTCAAGTGCTAACCTATGTTTTGAATGTCAACCTATTTGATTTTAATATTGTCATAGACCATAGATGGTGGCCATTTTGAATTTCAAGATGGCCGACCGTTTTTCAACAAAATCTTCTTGGAAAATTGTTATTTCAATTATCATGGTTTTTACAACAATAAAATTACAGTGCATGCCTCAACTCTGTGCCTACAAGGCCAATTACACACAGGGCGTTTATGGGCGAATCCATTTTGTGCTCAGGGGGTAAGTTTAAAATAAATAAATTCAGGAAGAAATCACAAACCTTACAGGAAACTGTATATCAACAAATGAACTATAAAATATACACAAATACATATGCATGTGACTTAAACTTGCCTGTACAGTATACCCGATAATACACGCAGGGCATGTATGGGCGATTCCATTTTTCCTTGAGGGGTAAGTTTAAAATATGTAGAAACAGCGTCTTTGTTACATCTGGGTACACACAGGTGTTAGGCAGTATGTTCTACCTCAGGATATACCTTATGCGGCTGCATTACTGTGCATTGCAAAGAGCACTGCGCCGATTAAAGTATACAAACAAGGAATGAGGGAGTTTAACTGGAAGTGTAGTAAACGAGTATCATTATTGTACAACAGAAGGGAAAAACGAATGAAATGGTGATACAGTAGTTCAGGAAGACTATTCTGATTGTTTACTTTTATTCAACGTTTTAGGTATCATCCAGCTCATTTTCGTCTGTTTCATCAAGGATTCTATATAATCTACAGTGTTTTCACAGTCATAGCACTTACAAAAAGGCGTGCATACGACATTGTTTTTTTTTTTGCAGGAACAACTAGTTTTTGTGCAATTTGTTTTGCACCCACATTTAACCAGTTCCGAGACTACTTCTGGTGCGGGGAGATTTAATGATGTTGGCTGGAATGAATCACCAATTTGATCCCATCCAAGATTCTCTCTTGATTGGAGATATACTGTTATATACGATTTGTCACGGGCACAGATGTAGTTCCCTCTTTGAATATGGGGCAGTAGCGCAGCTCTCGTCGGTTGTAATTTTTCGGCTTCCTGGTTCTTCGATCTGAAGAGTTCCCATCTTGTATGCGGGATATCACTTGCACATTTGAGATACAGGGAGCAAAGATACTTTTCTATTGATCTAACTTCGCTGGGCAGGTTTCCATCGACCAGTTTGTTTTCTATTGCACTGTTTCCAAGTTTGGCAAAAAACTGTATTGCAGGGTCGTCATCAGGTATACCAAGATATGTCTATATCAACCTTTTCTTGCTGATACCTACAAATTTACCACCCCAGTCAGCACCATTAAGACCTTTGCATTTTTCTTGGCCAATGACGCTGACAATTTCTTTGATATTTAAGTTCGTGCTATGGTTAACAAACTTGAGAACAGTAAATGCACCTGTTCTTTTGTTTGCAACTAGGTCAATCAATGAAATATTCACATCAGTATCTGGCGAATAGACAGTAATTTTTTTCAATGTTGTATTACGGAGACAGTCTATAACATGAAGTGATAATATACCTTCATTTGATTCTGCGATCTCATGTGATGTGTGGGATTCATGCAAGTTTTTGATAACTTGACCAAGACATTTGTCACCAGGATAGAAAGAAAGAATGAACCTTACCAAGAGGCTAGAGTGGTATTCGATAGATATGATGTTGAAGACTCGCTAAAGGACGAAACAAGATTAAAAAGAACGTCACAAACCCCTATTGAATACGACATTTATAAAGACATGGCAATAAACCACATTTCTATGAAAAGTATTCTATCTTCCTTTAAAAACAAATCATCTCTGACACATATTTTTGGAGAAACATTGCTCAGCAAATACAGTGGCAGTCAAAAGAAGGTTGTCCATTAGGATAAGTTTGATTGTCGCGAATTTATTTAATTTAATTCGAAACCTTCGATTTTCAGCTGTTCTACTACTTGTCTGATTTTCGCCATTGTTCTTTTATCCAGATTCAAAATTTAATAACAGTTATAGTAATCTTAATTTTAATTCATAAGATTGCCAAATCTCATCGGACTTATAAATTTTGTAACCATGGTTTTTCAAATTTTTCCGTGTAAAACCTACGGTTTTAGCAGAAATGTGGCGAATCGCCTAAAGTTTTTATGTAGTAGCTCTGCTGATATTGGGCCGATTGTCGGCATTGTTGTGGCAACATGTAGCTTTATTTATTAGCTACAACAAATGTAAAAATCAATTTGATTGGTTAATAAACGACGTCGGACTTGTTATTTTTGTAAGAATCAACTAGTAGCAAGTCAGTTTAGAAGCCAATGCAGAATAGTGAACGAGTATGCGACCATATTTTCGAGCAGAAGGAGCTTAGCTTTGGAGTTAAAATATTAGAATGTTATTTGCATTATCTTGAAATATTATTTTGATTTTTAGTTTGTGCATGTGTAGATGAACATATAGATTTTTTAATGTATTTACATAAAAAATATAGTAGTTATGATAGTATATAAATGACGATATTCTGCTAGGCCCACGTATTCTCTTCGGCGAAATTCCGGTTTCAGATCTGATAATCAAACCATACCATTTTCAATGGGTCATGCAAGTGCATGGTAGAAGGATCTGTAATAGGTACATTAGTACAATGTTAAAAAAAAAATGTATACCTAATGAAGTACTGTATAATATAAAATTATCTTTTTGTTTATTTTGAAGTACTATGAGCCTGCACCTACAACTTTCTCTACATTCACACTAACTAAATACCCCTATTTTACAATGGTACATTTCACACGCTTCAACGACCAGCCATTGAATTCTCTTCGACGCGATAAGAGGATTATCAAACCCTATGCAAAGGCAATTTTGACTGGGTGATCAAACTTATCCTAACGGTGGTAAAAGGAACTGAGGCGAAGGTTAACAAGGACTTCCAATCGTCCGACAATGTTAAAGAACATTACCACAAAGAGACAGACACACTGATTCCACTTCATGTTATCTGACTCCGTGATACAACATTGAAAAAGAAATTACTGTTAGATCAGTTAAAAGTTCCTTTGCTCCCTGTATCTGCAAGTGATATCCCGCATACAAGATGGGAACTCTTTAGATCGAAGAACCAGGAAGGCAAAAAATTACCACCGACGAGAGCTGCACTACTGCCCCATATTCAAAGAGGTAACTACATCTGTGCCCATGACAAATCATATATAACAGCTAAACAAGATCTCCAATCAAGAGAGAATCTTGGATGGGATCAAATTGGTGATTCATTCCAGCCAACATCATTAAATCTTCCCGCACCAGAAGCAGTCTCGGAACTGGTTAAATGTGGGTGCAAAACAAATTGCACAAAAACTGTTTGTTTAAAACAATGAGAATAATCTTCCTGAACTACTGTATCACCATTCATTGGTTTTTCCCTTCTGTTATACAATAATGATACTCGTTTTACTACACTTCCCATTAATCTCCCTCATTCCTTGTTTGTATACTTTAATTGGCGCCGTTCTCTTTGCAGTGCACAGTAGTGCAACCGCATAAGGTATATCCTGAGGTGCAATATACTGCCTAACAGGGTGCCTGTGTGTACCCAGATGTAACAAAGACGCTGTTTCTACATTGGTGGCGGTTAAACTCATCCTGGACGCCTAATTGTGTGCTCTATAAGCTTAAGTATCATGCATATATTTATACATTTTAAACTTACCCCTCAAGGATAAATGGAATCGCCCATACATGCCCTGCGTGTATTATCAGGTATACTTTACAGGCAAGTTTAAGTCACATGTATATGTATTTGTGTATATTTTATAGTTCATCTGTTGATATACAGCCTTTCTGTAAGGTTTATGATTTCTTCCTGAATTTATTTATTTATTTTAAACATACCCCTTGAGCACAAAATGAAATGAATTGAAAAAAATGAAATGAAACGGTTATCCAGGAAGATTTTGTTGAAAAGCGGTCGGCCATCTTGAAATTCAAAATGGCCACCATCTATGGTCTATGACAATATTAAAATCAAATAGGTTGACTTTGAAAACATGGGTTAACACTTGAAATTATGTCAATATCTGCTTCAATAGTAGAGTTATGGTCATTTTTATGGTTAAAATGGCAGCCATTTTGAAATTCCAATATGGCCACCAAGACGATAATTGAAAAAAATGGACCCTTGCATTTTTGGAATCAGCATACCAAAATATCAGGAAAATGCAATAAAATTGCTTTTGGCAAGCCTATCTCGCAAACCTGTTTTTTTGGACACTAGGTTTCTCACTACTCTGTATTTCGCTCCCAAAGGAAGAGGGAAAATAGCTCTGCATTCAGTCAACCTTGTTGTCGGCAAAGGCCAAGTCACTGATGCGCACTGCTCGTGTAAATCTGGGTATCTATAACCAAGCAAAGGACACTTAGGCCTAGGCTCACGTATGTTTCGCGTTGACAACCAGCTGTCTAAGGAAATTAAAATGTCAGAGAAAAAGTTTTTGATCGCTGATTAGTCGGTTTATCTGTCAAACAAATCTCGTCGAGATGTTAGTTGAATCATAAGAACAGGAATGTTTCGTTCAGCGCATGAAACGCAGACTGAATTTTGGTTCAGGTTCATGTAAATATAGTGTAAGATCTTTTGTTTAAAATATACACACAAACTTGTTGAAAGTGAGTTTACTTTATATTGTAGGCAAGACTTTTTTTATTCCTTGTTTCGCATACTTATTTTATGAAAGATCATCGGAGGAGGGTGGAATAAAAATAACATTTTGTTTCCTTATTTAGCGATAGTTTTCCAAAAAAACATCCTAACGGTGGAGAAATAAAAATAAAATTTTATTGGTGAATGTAATATAATTAGGAAGAAATATACATGTCTTTGGATATTTCAAGGCAGCGGAGGGCGTAATAAAAATAAAGAAAAACTTTTATTTTTTTTCTGAAATTTCCACTTTTTTGTGGCGGCAGGTGCACTAAATGGCCGAAAATAAAATTTTATTTTTATTCAAAATCATCAACATTTGCAGTCAGCAGGTTCGCTAATCAAGGTATAAAAAAAGTCTCGCCGTACATACATTAAAAACATTGCGATTTGCAACAATTATGTTTTGTGTGGAGCTGCCTATCCATGATGGAGTTGAGGTACATTGTTGAAATTTGTAACACGTACACATAATTATAGTTATACGCCTGTTGTGCAAGTTTTAATACCTTGTGTAACTGGCCACATGGTCAACGATCAACCCAAAAAGAGATGATTTTTATATTTGCTTTGTCTCTTGGTCTGACTTTGGGGTGTACCCATACCTCCACTGTTTAGTTTTAGACTGTACTTGCTTAAGGTTATACGGCTGTACCTAGAAATAATGTATTTGCAATTTAGGCATCCTTAGATTTATGTGACTCCTGGGTTCACGGGGAATGTTAAGAAGTTATTTTGTGATTATCATGATTTGTATACTGTAGCTACCTAACCATGATGAGTTGAGTACATTGAGCTGAAAATTGTCAGTATACAGTACTGTAACTCGTCGAATAGAAGCTATGCCCTTTCAAATGAGCTTCTTTTCGAGATAGGCTTCATTTTGAGTCTACTTATATGCAAGTAATGTTATTGATCATTGAATAATGTTGACATACCTGTATAGTTAAACAATTTCTTCAGCAATTCTTGGTGTCCACTGTTTTGGGAGGACGGCACCAGGTGTTTTTAAAGACAGAATGATCTTTCAGTCTCATTGGGAACCATTATGGCCATGGTCGAGATGTTCATATAATGATTCAACCTCGTCATAAACCAGCAAAGCCTCACCTCACCTAGATTTGCTTTTTATCTGGTGAAATAATAATAATAATAATGATAATAATAATAATAATAAAAACTTGAAAAGCACCGGTAAAACTTGTAAAACGCTCATGGCGCCCCTCCACAAGAAGTAAAAAATGTAAGCGACAAAAATGATGTACAATGATATAAGCAGCTTTAAGATTACTGTCATATGATGCGGTTTTTATACATGGTTTCTTTAATTTATTTACAATTTTTTTTTAAATCTCAATTCTTTGTCAATTATAACTGTTGACAATCTGTACATATTGTTTTTACTCAGCCAGTTATTGGTTTTAAATGACATTTTATTTTTCTCAAATATTTGAAATTAGTCATATTACTATTATGCAAGGTCTGGAAATAAACTTAATGTAGATATGAAATACCAAAACAACTTGTTTTGACTTACTATTTTCACAGCTTTCTCCTTTAAATCCTGATGCACAAATACAGTTACTGTACTGTCTTGTCATCGCATATGCCACCATTCAAACAAATATTACAATTACTTGTACATTCTAGGTGCACCCCAGCGGCAAAGGTGGACATTCTGTATGAAATAAATATCTCAAAATGTTTTAACCTATGAATATATGGCAATGCATTTAGGTTTAACAAATCTAACACTGACTAATTATTAAAGAAGCATGGGCTAAGAGTCTACATGGTGTTCACACAAAATGTGTTATGATTACGTACACTGTACAAGGATGCTAATTGCTTGTTCGGTGGCGGATCCAGAAATTCGAAATGGGGGGCCCCAGGAAGGGACATTTACCGCAGAGTGTCTAGCCCACGTGAGACCCACCATGGTTGGGGCTGAGGTAAGAAAATTTATGATTTTAGCACTCTCCGACCTAAATTTAATTATAATTCTTCTTTTTTTTCAAAATTTGAAAAAATTAGAATTAGATTGACTGTGAAATCAGTCAATCAATGAATCAGATATTATGTTATACTTAGCTGTGCAAACATTCAAACACAACTAGTTACGGATCCAGGAATTTGAAATAGAAGGGGCCAAGAGAGGGACTTTCACAGATGGAGGGTCTATACCCTTAGCCCAATCATAGTTGGGGCTTGTAAGACCATATTGCATATGATTATGACATTATTCAATTATAAAAGCAAATGAAACTTATAGTTATATGCATGGCACTATGCAATACAACATTCAAAACAATGTTATATATAATTCATAACCATGTTTAATGAGAATGATTAAACTAATTATTTAATCATTTGGGATCCTCAATACTTTATTTAGAACATGACTTATGTGAGACTTGACTATTTTCACTGGAATAATGCTACAACCATATAAAAAAAACAGCTGACATGCAAACATTGTACCATGTTATGTTTTTGTTATTTTTTATAAATAAACAAAGGTGAAGACGAACTTACAGAACATTTTAAAGACCTGTCAGGTCTCATTCTCAACCGGCATTTCATTACTTCCGTCTAGCAGAGGAATGTGCGATGACTTTTACAACCTACAGTACTAACTATTAACATCCAGATGAACTTATTTAAAACTTCAAAAATGACAAAAAAAAAACCCCCCAAAAAAAAACAGAGAGATATAAGTATAACAACAGTATTTAATTTTAAATATTAATATTCCATTATTTAAAAAATTCAATATTTTTTTTAATGTTTTCGTATTTTATGATGAAATATCAGAAAATTTCTGGAAAACCTATATGTAAAGTCAAAGCACTAATCGGTGTAATTCCTCAACTTACAAAATATCTAAATACTGTAAATCCAAAATAAATCTTTTTTTCATCTGTCTCCCTTGCAATTCACTTGAACTGTAGGCCTACATTTATATTTGCTGTGAAATTTCAATTCTTTTCTTATCTTTTTATAGTTAATTATTTATCCTATGTACATATATTAATGGAATTTGTAATTTTTGTGTATTTTTAACTTTCCACATTATTTCTTTTGTTTTTAATTTTTTTTTGTTTTAAATATGTAATGACATGTAAATTCAGATTTACTGTGAAATGAGGACATGAAAATTGAATTATTATGATTTACCAATAGTGTTAACTTACTTTTCAGGCCAATTTCTGAAGGTGGAAATGCCCTACTGCCACTGGATCAATGCACTTTTAGATTCTAGAGAGACAAATAAAATCAAAAACTGCAACAAATGTTCACATTTATAGTAAATGCAATTAGTTTAATGATGGGTTAGAAAGAGTGAAATTAAGTTTCAAATTTTCTTTCCTGAAATAAAATTTCCACCAAAAATCAAACTTTAAATATAAAGCCAAATAAAATTAATTAATCATATCACCTCAAATTGTGGGTCATCATGAAAATATTTACTATTTCATTGCTGATTTTAGCACTCACAGACCTAAATTGTATTATAATTCTTCTTTTTTTCTCTTTTTCTTTTATAATTAAGAAGTTGGAGGGGTGTGTGGTGAATCCGCTACTGTAAAATCAATCAATCAATCGAATATTATTATGTTATACTTAGCTGTGCAAACTTTCAAACACAACCAGTGACTTTTTAATCACTTCACTACCCATATTTTATTCACACTGGACTTTACTTTGGAGTGAACATTCAAGATGTTATGGCATGCTAGCCTAGCCGGCCGGGGAGCCTAGCCTACCTAACTAAACCTACCAGCTAGGCCTAAGCCCTAGCCTATAAAAAAAGCTAGCTGTAGCGAAAGGTCAGAACGACTACCCACAGGTTAGCAATAACGCAACTATACCACGGCTTGAGT